ATGACGATAGATACTTTTATGGGTATATAGGCTTCTAACATAGAAAGAAACTATTTAATTATTTACCTCTAATATCAGAATTATCTAACTGTATTCTGTATTATTATATTTTATAGTATTAAACTTTAACAGACAAAATATACATTTTAAAACAACAAAGTCAATCAATTTATTTCTCATATTTCGAAAGAATAAACAAAAAATAAAAATAAAAATGGACTGTTTAAAATTCAATTCGATTTGAAAATATTGTTATAGAATTTCGGCACAAAACGTTCAACGAAACTGTTTTAACCTTTACAAGAGTATTGATAAATAAAACAATTAGACAAAAAATTTCATCAAAATCGGTCCAGCCATTTTAGTTTTTGTGAGACTAATGGACATCAAGGCTCATTTTTAAGGTTTCCACGCTTAAGTACAGTGGACAAGGTACATAACCAGCTGTGGACTCTAACGGGCTAATGTAGAAGAGCCTTGACCATTATCCACGTGAAAACGCAAAAAATTATCATGTCTATTTAATTTGTTCCGCTTGTACATTTTAGGTTTATAATTTATTCTAGGATAGGACTCCTTATCAAAAATTTATTTAAAATTAAACATTTTGTACAGCCGACTGCAATATAAGTTATTAAGAATAATTCAATAACTATTGGTCTGACCTTGGACCACACGAGAAGTATCTTTTAAATAAAAGCTGTTAAATAAAAAAGAATCATCGAAATCGGTTCACCCAGTAAGAAGTTATGAGGTAACACACATAAAAAAACATACAGTCAAATTGAGTACCGTCTCCTTTTTGGAAGTCGGCAGAAAAAAAAAACTGTATTGAGAAAAGACTAATTGTAGCAGCCTACGTCTCTACTGTGGACCTAAGGGGTCCCTTTATTTTGGAACGGATTGTTTGTACGCCATACAAATACTTGTTCCGTGCGGGATTCAAACCCGCGGGCCTAGACGCCGCAATTCAACGCTAAGCCACTGCACCACAGAGCTGTCATCAATTGCCATTAACAAATTCAGTGGTGCCAGTGGAGATTGTACTCGGATCGCTTACGTACATTAAATCTATGGCGGGCGCCTGACCCCTGTACAACCATGGCTTTTGGAAAAGAGAAAAGATTACATACAGGAAATTTTGCAGCTCAATTTGCATCTTTCCAAGTGAAGAAAAGTGCTTCCAACACGTTTCAACAGTAACTTATGTTATTTATTACTTGTTTAAAAAGTTCTCAAACAAAAAGTTTGTACCTTCGAATAAATAGCTCAGACTCAACTTCTAAGATTAACCTTCACCTTTATACTTGGAAGCAGTACGTGCGTACACAGTAACATTGTTTTATATTGGAACATTATGTTACACGTTAGAAAATAAACAGCAGCTTTATTTTTTCTTAATGAGTCATAAAAATATACTGTTGTTAATTAGCTGGTACAATGATAATCAGTCAAAGGAAAAGGCATAGTGAAATTCATAGTCAAGATATGGGACGATTCAGGCGCTATGTGTCGTATTCAACCTTTCAGCATTTCACACACAATAGAAACCTCCAATTTAACGGGGTTGGTTGCTGACTGTCTGAATTTCGACAATCAAATAATCCCCTAACTTCATATCGTGAAACGTACATTGGAAGAATTGTGAAAAAAAAAGCAACAAAAATTTAATTAACTTTAACGTTGCTAGTTTATCTGCGACACTGCTTGTTTATCTGCTTTTCTTCGGTAATAAATTTCAGATACTCTACGTAAGAACTTTGTATTAATTTTCAGTAACACAAAGTACAATACAATTTATAAAAGAATTTTCTGAAAATGACAAGCGAAATCGTTGGAATTATAATTTTAACTTTATTTTTATTTATTATAAAATTTTATATAAATTTCAAAACGTGGTAGAGCCATGCTGCAGCTATATTTCTGGTATACTTGTAACACGAATGGATCGGCTCGACCGGGGAAGGACGACGCTCCCACAGAATACCAGCGTAAAATAGCAGTTTAATGCTGCCGTGTTTCGTATGGTGAGTGTAGAGAACCGGAGACCCTTTTTACTGGAAACGAGGCATTCCATCTTAGTCCTCACGGGTGACAACGCATCTGCATTTTGATTCGTAATCGAGGATAAATGTAGATGTCTATGGGCCACAGCAACCACTTACCATCAGGTGGACTGTGTGCTCCTTTGTCAGTGTAAATGTAAATAATATGTATACGTACAAGCTGGAGTTGAGTGGCGTAGGAAAGAAGAGTATTAGGTTTGAGGCCGCGAAACTGCAAGCCAAATGAGGTGAAGAAATGTTTGAATTAATTAAAAGATGCTTGTTAAATTTAGCTGTTTAATTTACCTTATTACAAAATAATTTCTAGTTGTTTTTATCTCACTGTTACGTGAAATACAATGTTGTCATGTGATAAATAATAGATATTTATTTATCACATGACAACATTAGCCAGAACATCACAATGGAAACCTTTAAAGCAATCAGTCCATCAATCACAATGTTACGACAAAAAAAAAGGTCGTAAATCTGTGATTTATCACAAACATCTTCAATCCTATTAAAATATGCAAAAACTTGATTTGAAACCATTTCGGAATTATTCGCGAAATAAACAAGAACCGGTTTAAAAACGAGTAAGAGACCTAATATAAAAAAATGGAACCAGATATTTCCATGATTGTTGTTATCATTATCAACATATTATGTGCATCGTGTTATGATTCAGGTACAAAATGTGTAAAACGACAAAAAAAACCAAAACGTTATTTTTTAAATTTACATTACATTTTTACTGGCGAATGTAGGTAATACTGTGGGCGTCACGTCACGTCTAAGACAGCCGATCTTGTCGTGCACATCCATAGGGTGACAAACGAGCACCCAGTCCACCTGATGGTAAGTTGCTGTGGCCCATAGACATCTACATGTATCCTCGTTTGCGAATCAAAATGCAGATGCGTTGCACCCGTGAGGACTAAGATAGAATAATGCCTCTTTTCCAGTAAAAAGGAGACCCTTTTTACTGGAAATATGGTTCTCTATACTCACCATACGAAACACAGCAGCATGAATCTGCTATTTGACGCTGGTATTCTGTGAACTCATATATAAAAAAAATATAACGCGTTTAATAAAAAAAAATTGTGTAGCTCACACGGGCCATTTATATAGAATAAATTATACCTTTTACACAACAACACTGTTTAGTTCAGTATTGTAAAACTTGTCATGATTCATATCTGAATAAAACGATATAGAAGAGAAATTAAAAGCAACTTTCCAATGAAAGATATGACTAATTTAAGTTCGAAACCATAGCTTTTTTTATATAGGAAAGTACATTGAAAAAACATTTGCGTCGAATATAGAACCTATTCCACTTTTGGAGCTTGGTTAAAAACATTTTTCAACATGCTTAAAATAATGAATAAGAATTATTTTTTTATAGGATAGGGTGACAAACGAGCACACAGTCCACCTGATGGTAAGTGGTTGCTGTGACCCATAGACATCTACATTTATCCTCGTTTGCGAATCCAAATGCAGATGCGTTGTCACCCGTGAGGACTAAGATAGAATGCCTCTTTTCCAGTATATATAAAGGGTCTCCGGTTCTCTACACGCACCGTACGAAACACAGCAGTGTCAAGCTGCCATTTTACGCTGGTATTCTGTGAGAATGTAGTCCTTCCCCGGTCGAGCCGACCCATTCGTGCTATAACTATACTACTAATATAGCTGCAGCATGGCTCTACCACGTATGAAATTAGGAATTTGATGGATGGAGGTGGCTCGAAGTACCGTGCTTCGTGGCATTCCTTGGATGAGGCCTATGTTCAACATTAGACTTGTGATGATGATGAAAAAATCAATAACAGATAATGAATTAAATCACTCATACAAATCATAGGTACTCATACAAATTATGATAATGAAGTGAATTCGATTGTTAAATTTCAATCGACTTTCACATTCGACTCTTTAATGGCAGTTATAAAGGTGTTCGGTAATTTGGTTTGATTTTTTTGGCAGAGCTGATGTTGTGCAACCCACAGTCACGTGTTAGAACTGGACACGGTGTTTTTTTACCTTCATTTTTTGATCTTTAACTCTCCAGATTTAAATGACTTGTAACGCACCGTTTGTAAAACATAATGTAAATTTATTGCAGCAGCAAACGTGAACTTTCATAGCTGAAGACGAACAAAATCCATTAATTAACTTTTGTGACGTGTCATGGCATTATTTATCTACTTCTTGAGTTGCCTTAGGGTTGATTCGAAATCAGTGCAATTTGTTTAAATAATGATTGTTATTACACATAGAACAATTATGTAATCACATAATAACAGGTTTTACAAGATGTTATGATATCATCCTAACAGATCTAACCTGAAATATTTATTATAAAAACACAGTTATTATCTAGTTTATTGGTTGGTATAACTGTTTCTTTTTAATAAGTTAACTATCTATTTTAATTTATATATTTATATATGTACGTGGAAGAAAATGTGATATACTATTGGACAGATTCTAATAGACTTTTACTAGAAGTTAGTAAAAGTTTATGTACAATTTCAGTTGTCCTACTATATTTGACGGACAATATGATTTTTCTCATTCAATTTTAAACAAATCTCAAACATTTTAGTCGTTATTAAATATACTTAACTAAGGAAAATAAACAACTTCAAGGTCGCCCTATAACCCTACATCCTTTCTGGGGTCGTCGCAAGAATTGACTGTGCGACTATTACGTTCGTATACAACCGCTGATTGCTAAATAAAGGAGGAAGATCCCTAAAGCAACAATAGAATGTCCCACCCACACACTATAGTTTTCCGGAACTTAACATGTACTAGAGAAATAAAGTCAAGTTACAAAAACGAACAATGCTTGAAAATGTTTCGTTTCTCACACTTTCTCTCTCACACAATATCTCTTTTATTGTAGTAAACATAAATTCGACTTAGAGAAAAATATCCTACCTTTGTGCAGAAGGAACAACCGCATCCGCTGATGACTGTGACCTTGTCAGGTGTAGCGTCTTCCAGACACAGCTTGCAGTTGACGGGAGCGGCCGGGACAAAGACACCACCAGCGCCATCCAGCGAATACCTAATCGGAAACAACTGGATTAAGAGAAAATTTACATGCATTCTTATGAAATACAGAGATATATTTTTACACAATCTTAGTATGGATTATCATTATTATAATTTTTTTATACCAAAATAGAAGTGACAAATGAAACCACATACTACAACCACCTGAAGTGGTTACTGCAGTCCATAAACACCTGAAACCAACTACATACGAAGAAGGTTCCGGATGCGTTGTCACTTCTGAGGATTAGGATGTAATACCCAACAGCCTACGAAACACAGTAGGGCAGGGACTGTTGCTTGGGGGAAGAAACGAGTAAGAGGTGGAACCCATCCAGATAGACTAAACAGAAACAGAGTCCTACCACCTAGTGTTATAGAACAGTGAGATCACCAGGATGGCTACATTGAGTTTGTTTAAGATATCGTATGAAAATAGGAACTATGTAGGATAATTAAAAGGAACTATGTAGGATAATAAAAACCCGTTGTTTCGGATATTATTTTTTATCAAATGATTTTAAATAGAGACAAAGAGGTTTGTATGGATCGTGACACTTGGCGATCTGTTCTCTCTGGCTACCCCGTCAGGGATTGTGCGTGAAGATAAGTAAGTAAGTATTTTAAATAGAAGGAAATAGTACTTTGTCAACTATAAAATTTTCAAATGTTTAAAATATTATTATTTATTTATTATTATTTATTTATTTACATATAACCTTTACTATGAAATTGGAAATACCAAAGTTTTTTATCTTTATCGTGTCAGAGAATAACTCTGCTCACTTATAGTTGTCTGATGAAACAATTAACAACTAACAGGAAAATTCTAGGAATAATCCTTTTGAGACAATCTATGAGGGGCTTCCCTATGCATATGTTCAGCAGTTTTAATAGGCAGTATCGGTAACGGTTTCTGTGTCCGTGTGTAGGACATAGATGAAAGTTCTCTAAGTCAAAGACTTTAGATACTGTTCCCATCTCTGGGCAGGGGCTCCCCAGTGTCAGCTCCTTCCACTTGACCGCAACCAGAACGGTTCGAATCGTCGACGACCGAGTTCTTTCCGATCGGCTTGACTCACAGGCACTGCGTAGAGATGTTGCATCTCTTTGCGTATTTTATCGCATCTAGCACGGGGAGTGCTCTACGGAATTGTTCGGACATTCCAGCCGCTCAATTTCACCATCGCATATCCCGACAAAACTCGTGCGATTTAGAAGAAGTTTTCTTCCTCGCACAACTTCCTTGTGGGATCGACCACCAGCAATTTTTCCGGACCGATACGACTTAGGGACCTTCAAGAAAAGAGTCTACTCCTTTTTAAAAGGCCGGCAACGCATCTGCAATTCCCCTGGTGTTGCAGTTGTTCATGGGCGGCGCTAGTCACTTAACATCAGGTGAGCCGCGTGCTCGTTTGCCCCCTCTCCTATAAAAAAACATCTACTACTAGAAGGGTTCAGCGGCCTTAATACAGTGCACAGCAATGCCGCTTTCACACGACAGAACAGTCAGACAGAATGCTAGTAAAAGTAGGACATAACAGTTTGGAAGGACAGTGGTGTTCAAATATAAGACCAAATACCAGGAAAGTCCGCGAGTAACGATGGAGCGTCGACGACGACAACGGCAACTTAAAATTGCAACACAAATAGCTCTGGATGAGCTAATTGAAATTGTAAAGAGTGAAATAAATAGGAAAGAAAAACTTTGAATTAGACCCTGGGTAGCAAGAAGACCAGAGCTTGGTTGTTTAGTTCAAGTTTTAGAAGAAATAAGTATTGAAGATCATAAAGAGTTTAGATTGATTATGCGCATGACAAGGGAAAATTATGGAGCATTATTGCACCTCATCAGTCCGGTAGTCATTCATCATACCCGCGAAGCGCGGCTCCGTCGACTACCGACTTAGCAAAAAGGCGCAGAGAACTTAGGATGCAAGAGCGAAGCGAGCTCGGGGGCTTGAGGCACCCCGAGTCGGACAGGTTAGGTTCTAAGGGGATGGCGCGGTCTTAGTTCACTCGCTTCGCTCGCACACTACACAGTTTGTGTTAGATCACTTAAAACCCTGTAAACAGAAATAGGAATCAATCATTTTAATATTAAAACAAACAAATTTTGTATAAATAAACCACACGCCACATGCAAAACAAGTCGGCGCGCGCGCACATTATCCTGCTCTTTGTCTTTCTGCACTGCACTGCCCTCGCGTACACACATCTCCAGCCACAAGAAAGTTGGGCGGGAATGGTGGTGGGGGGAGCAAACTGCCCCGAAAAAATAGACCAACAAGCTATTAACTGTTCTGATAGAACCTTGGTTCCTGTCAAGATAGTTCTGTTCTGTCTCGGCGTGTGCGTTCAAAAATACTACGCTGTCTACCGCTCTGCCTCACTATTCTGCCCTCGTGTGAAAACGGCATAAGCATCGGACACTTCTCTGTAATTCCTTTAGTCGATTGCGAGCGGGCGAGAAGACTATTTCTTTGTTTTGTAAGCCGCGAATGTTGTTTTAGACAATCTAACACGGATCCGTATTATATTGTATCATTATTTATATGTGCATATTTTGTCGACGTGATTTGAAGTTTATATTATATAAGTATGTAACTTCATTTCGCCTGAAAACAGTAACTTTCGTAATTTAAAATAAAACTGCTATCTTGCACGGCATATTTACCGTTGCCCGCACCAGCGCGATCCATAGCAGTGACACAGTTTTTGTTTAGAATTGCCAGTCTAGTAGAATACATAGAAGTATTTGTTCTCAGTACCTGGAGCCGCCTGCGCCTGCGAGGGACAGCAGCGAGGAACATCGGGAGCAGACGGAGGGCGCTCGCAAGCGATTGTGCGCTCGTATCGGCTCGCTGGCCCGCTGCTCGCTCAGCGCCAGCACTGTCGAGCATTTTCTCAGACCTGCCATAAAGAAGTGAAACCGTCAAATATTGCTAAGCTTATTTAAGCGTAAGGGAGAATATGCCACCTATTTATTTCCAGCCTCATTTGTTATTTTTTATAATTTTTTTTATAAAATAGGTGACAAACGAGCACACAGTCCACCTGATGGTAAGTGGATGCTGTGGCCCATAGACATCTATATTTATTTTTGATTTAGAAGCAATATACAGATGCGTTGTCAGTTGTCACCCATGAGGACTACGATGGAATGACTTGTTTCAAGTAAAAAGGGTCTCTCGGTTCTCTACACTCACCATACGAAACACAGCATTAAGCTGCTATTTTACGCTGGTATTCTGTGATAGCGTGGTTCTACCCAGGTCGAGCCGACCCACTCATGCTGCAACCATACAGCTGCAGCATGGCTCTACCACGTAAAAGTTGAAGTTGAAGTGACTAATTAACTTACAGTCCATCTGATCGTAAGTGGCTAGGTACTGCAGCTCATGGACACCTGCAGCTGATTTAAAATAAAGAAGGCTACAGGTGCGTTGTCACCTCTGTGGACTAAGAGGGAATGCTTCAAAGCCTGTTATTATATTGGCTCTCTATACTCTTTAGAACACAGCGGTGTAAGCACGGCTATGTAGCGACAAAAATAGGAAGTAAGTGGCACTAGATACTATGACCTTAAACTGTCGGCTGGGTTATCCTGTGATCAATATCTCTCAAAAACTTCGCAATGTGATGTATCAGAATATTGTCAGGACCTTTGTAAATATAATTTAAAATTAAAAATTTTGTACAACCTTCAGTATAAATTATTAACAAAAACTATTGCTCAAACCTTGATCAAATTTATATGAGACCACATGAGAAGCAACAACTTTCAAATAAAAAAAAGAATCATCGAAATAGCTGCACCCAGAAAAAAGTTATGAGGTAACACACATAAAAATAAAGAAATAAAAGAACATATAGTCGAATCGAGTATCGTCTCCTTTTTGAAGTCAATAGATAAAAAATGAACATACAGTCGAATTGAGTACCGACTTCTTTGTAAAGTCGGTAGAAAATACACCTCAGACTAGGCTGAACTTTATACAAATTAAAAAAGTCTCCTTTTTTGATGGCAAAAAGCCTATCGAGTTGCGCCGAACCAAAATCCCGTAGACTGGTAATGAGAAGCAAAACTTCAAAAGGGCGCTTACCAACCCGCCTGCCAATTGTTTTGAGTATGGGCAAACCTTCGGCAATTCTTTTAACAGTGCGGATGGTACGCCAGGCGTGCCATCGATTGTTTTTCTGTGGCGTATGACACGCAAGTCGTGTCATTTTAAAAATCGTTATAACTCGCTCAAATTTATTTTTGGAAGTTTTATCCAGAAAAATATTCATTATTTTGCAAGTAATTCTTGCCTACAGCATCGTTTCTGGATATTTTGAGAATTTGAAATTTTTAGGGGTTGACAACCTTTTCTTAACTTGTACTCTTTTTACTTAGTGCGTTTTTAAAACATGTTGTGGAAAAATACTCCAATAAGAATCAAATAATAGCAATCATTGCGATCGCTCATAAACTCAAGTTGTAAACAAGTTTCTGGAAAACAAGTCTCCTGTTAAAAAAAACAATACGTTTGTCTTATTGTTTAATTTTGGTTAAAATGGTTGAACTGCCGTCTTATTACTATCATTTGGCCGAATACCGAAGTACCATGTTATGCTCTTGTGATATGGTATAAGGTTTATTTTTGCTTGAAACTTCGAACGCTTTCATGCATAAAAATGTTCGCTAATAAATAGTCTTTTGTTCATACGCTGCGGTACTGCGCCGGCGCATTCCTTTGAAAACACCTTTAGTTTTGCTATTCTTAATAATTAGACGTTTTCAGGCGACTTTACTTTTCATACTGTAGACCTTTCCGACGATATTCGCGTGTGTACTGGACTTTGCATTTTGATGCATAATCGAGGATAGATGTAGATGTCTATGTGCTACAGCAACCACTTACCATCAGGTAGACTGTGTGCTCGTTTGTCATCCCTATCCTAAAAAATCTCTCTATACTATTAACATCAGAATTCGACAGCGGACGCTTTGCTGTTAAGCGGAAATAGGTAAGAGACTAGTCCATTGGAACGTTCAATGGACCACCTAAATATCTACAATACGTTTTATAATTTTATCCAGGAAATTTCGTTGATAGGGACATACTAAACGTTGTGTTAATCTCTTCTATTCTTGTATATCTTTAACGATATTCATGACGGTACATATAAATGCACGTTTACAGAAGTATTTCGATCCATGGAACTCTAAACACGGTCTTGTATCCATTCGCAATGCGAGTAATAAATTCACTGTAATTTACTATGCAAACAACGATTTGGATCGTTTTGTGTGCAATAGCACTATTAGAATTTCAATTACAGTCAAATACGATGCCTCGGCATGTGCAAGCTGACGCTTCGGTGCCGCCGTGTCAATGTGCAGTACTAGCTTCGAGCAGGAGTTGAATCACCGTGTTAATCAAACACATGATTCATGTGTTTGATTTTGCTTAAAAATACAATCTCTTTTACGTAGACATTGCGTTTGCATTTGCATTTCTCTTCAAATAATATCAATAATTTTGAGGCACTGAGCAAGGATCTAACCTTGTATTGGCGGTGTAAGAATATCCTCGTAGATATATCTCGAAGCTGTCGTAAGAGGCGACAAAAAGAAACTTCATCTGCACTGATAACTGAACTGACACTACTACTACACTACTAGTTGATGTTTGATTTAGCAACGCCTCGTTAAGATCCCTTTATAGAACGTAAACCTTTTTGACGTCGACGTCAACTTTAACAGAACATTTGTTAATGGGTAATTAAGAATAGTTTGGTGAAAATAATAGTAATAGTAAATAATAGTTTGGTAAAATCTGCGGATGATATCTCACTTTCCATATTAAGCAATCTATGCGAAAGACTTCGTTCAGCAGTAGACTTTTAAATAGGCTCTTGTAGAGATGCAATAATACCTTAAATTTTTAAAACAATATTTATTATTCGTCGAATGGTCGCATGAGGTGACATGGTAAAATGTCTAAAAGATCTTAACCACTTAGGCCCCGACATTTTATGGGTCCAACTTAGTCAGAGCTATGGTAATATTTTTGTTTAGATAAATGTAAAAATAACGTAGAGTCATTTTGCCAATTAATTTTACTGTCTTATCTTAAAAAAAAAATATCAAAAATTAAAATATTGAATTATTTGTATGAAGGTCAAGTGAGCGCTAGAGAAACGACGATTGCAAGACGTTGCCGATAAACAAAATGTTTTCAAAAATTGTCAATTACCTTGTAGTGGCGGTGCGGTGCATGAAAATCCATATCATCTGGTTGATGCTATAAGAGACTTGGGGAAAAGGGTTATTTTGTGTGAACATCCTTGCGGTTTCGAAAACGTCACAGTGAATAATCATCGTGACTTTGTCACGTTAGATAACTACTTGTAACACTAGAACGACTTATAACGTGACTTTATAGATGCACTTTAGATTTAGTTAAAAGTTACAGGCGTAGGCATACGTCCCAGTATGGGCACAGGCCTCCATTCATTTCTGAGAGGGTTTTAGCACAAGGAAATTTTCGCCGCGCAGCCCCAATGCGTGTTGGTGAACTTCACGTATCTTCGAAATATTTTTTTTCTAATTTCTCAGATATGCAGGTTTCCTCACGATGTTTTCCTTCAACGCCGAGCACGTGGTAAATGAGCACTTACAATTGCAATTAACAATTTCATTGGTGTCGGCGGGGATCGAACCCGGGTTGCTCGCGTACTGTAAAATTTACAGCGAGCGCTTCACAGAACCATCAGAGCTACCACGGCTCAGTATTAAGTTTTATTTCATTAGTCGATTTTTTATTTCCTTCCTTACTATTATTTTTGAAATATACGAATTACAACCACAAAAATTAACCTAGCCGATTAGTCGGTCGGGGTGGCGGTTTTTCTAAAAAAGATCGATTTTCAAATGGATTTGAATCGAAATCTGATTCTCAAATAGATCGAGATTTAAAACATCGATTAAATTTGATCTTCTTTGATTAATTTTCGAGTTTGTATTTACACTAACAACAAAGCGATAACAAACGTAACTTATTTTTTAATTCATTAATCGATTAAGAAGAGGCGAAAGAAACTGAGCACACAGTCATTTCGTGAGTTTTCAAATAATTCAATGAAAAACTGTAATTTTTTTACGTGTTTGGGTAGATTCAGCTAATTGTAAATAATTTTATGGTTCTTATCAAAACGAAAAAAATCGAAACTCGATTTCTAGGGCGAAGAAATCGACCTTTTTAGAACAATAAAGCGATTAATCGCGATTTCAGATCGTCATGCCTAATCGGTATACCGTTCTAGTACACGGTACACGTACCTTAGTACATAGTGGGAGGTATGGCAAATATGAGGCAATATATGGGGAAGGCCTATGTTTAGCAGTGGACTTAAAATAGGCTGTAACGGTAAGTGTTTGTTGTAATAGTAATAAAATAAATATTAGTATGAGGAAAAAAGAAGGAACATTTTTTTTATTGCATCTCGGTAGAACGCGGGTGCTCCGTGCGATGTTTAGGGCAGCGTTGCTGAAGTGAGCGATATTTGAGGAAACAAATAAAAATCCAATCATAGGTATATTACTTTATTACGTTATCTTTGACCAACGCCATTTTTATTGAAAACAACTTCGCCATAATATTCACGATATATCGATATTGTAACATAAAACGTAATTTTCGCACATTGGACTTTGTGGAATATGAAAATTTGCTTTTTTTTCATGATTTACTCACACTTTATATATCATTTTCTGTTACTTCTGACTACTTTATTTCATACGTGATCTAAATGTATAAAATTGTTGCGAGACAAAATATAAGCAAATAACTTTTGAAAACAGTTTAATTGCTTACCTTGTACATAAGAAAAAACTAATCAACAAACTTTCTCTTGTACCTACT